GGTGCCCACCACCAAAGGTGCTCTATCACTCGCCCTTCTCAGCTGGACAAGGGAGAGAAAATATAACAAAAGGCTCCTGGGTCAAGATAAGGACAGGGAGAGATCACTCACCAATTACCGTCATTGGCAAAACAGACTTGACTTGGGGAAATTAGTTTAATTTATTGCCAATCAAATCAGAATAGGGTAATAAGAACTAAATCTTAAAACACCTTTCCCCCCACCCCTCCCTTCTTCGTGGGCTCAACTTCACTCCCAGTTTCTCTACCTCCTACCCTCCAGTGCCACAGGGGGGCGGGGAATGGGGGTTGTGGTCAGTTCATTACACGTCATCCCTGCCACTCCTTCCTCCTCAGGAGGAGGACTCCTCACACTCTTCCTCTGGTCCAGCGTGGGGTCCCTCCCATGGGAGGCAGTCCTCCACGAACTGCTCCAACGTGGGTCCTTCTCACAGGCTACAGTTCTTCATGAACTGCTCCAGCGTGGGTCCCTTCCCTGGGGTCACAAGTCCTGCCAGCAAACTTGCTCCAGCATGGGCTCCTCTCTCCACAGGTCCAGCATGGGCTTCCCACAGGGTCACAGCCTCCTTCAGGCATGCACCTGCTCCAGCATGGGGTCCTCCATGGGCTGCAGGTGGAGATCTGCTCCAGCGTTAACCTCCATGGGCTGCAGGGGGACAGCCTGCCTCACTGTGGTCTTCACTGTGGATTGCAGGGGAATCTGATCTGGCGCCTGGAGCACCTCCTCCTCCTCCTTCACTGACCTTGGTGTCTGCAGGGTTGTTCCTCTCACATTCTCACTCCTCTTTCCAGCTGCAGGTGTGCATGGTGGTCGTGTGTGTCCCGCCCCCCCCCACCCAGCTTCCCACAGAAGCCACCCCTGTAGCCCCTCCGCTACCAAAACCTTGCCACACAAACCCAATACAAAGGAACATATTGTCTCTTCTGTGTAGGCTTTGCGTAGGTTTCTCATACTTAAAAGCTTGCAATGATATTGGTTAATTGCCAGATTTCAGTCACCTCTCTAACCTCTCCCTTTCAGTGGGTGTGAAAGGGTTTACTTGTAATACATATTGCTACTGACTGAATTTTATCTTGGTCTCCTGGATTCTCAGCAGCAATTCCCAAGTTAGAGGCTTCCCCAGAAAGCACGTCAAAGGATTCCCACCCACACACTGAATATCTAACAGGCCCTGACCCATTTTCTCTTTATTAAGGCAGCACTACATATTTAAAAAAAATAAAAATAATAAACAGAGAGGCTAAATGAATGCGAGAATTGCAGTTGGAACTCTACCCTCTTCAAGATTTTGGTTCTGACAAAATCACTACCAAAAAGCAGAGACACATTTAAAATACAAACATCAAATGTATTTTTCCTCAGTGTTCTCATTCAGTGACTTATTACTCCAGCTGTCTTTCAGCTAACTACAAGGAGAACTTCATTTATTCATTCTGAATACAGAAAAATGTCCTAATTTAGCCATACTTCTCTCCTCTTCCAACCATATCTTTGGGCATATTTCTGCAACTTGAGCTTTAATAATCTTGTAACTCTGTGACTTAAGATACAGGATGCTTAAAAAATGAAGCCTCATAGTGAGTAACAGTTGGAACTCTATGATTTTACTAAGATTATTAATGTTACCTAACCAGAATAAGCAATAGCAATTAACACTGAATATTTAGAATTGAAGTTTTTTATGGTAGGATGGACTACTGCAAATACTACTGCAAGACTCAAGATCAGTCATGCAGTTGATATGCTGGAATTTATTAACATCCCCAATTAAACAAGTACAATATTCTGTTTTAAGTAGAAACAAAATGGCAACAGAAAATTCAATCGATGTATGACTTTCAATTTGCCCACTGCATTCACAATTTCAGACACAGTGGGTATCAGATTTCACTGGTTACAGTTGCACAAGAGCCTTTTTCACCTCCTTGTGCTGTCACCGCCAGAGGAAGGGAAGCACTTCAGCACATCAAATAACCTCTCCCAAAACAACAATGTTAAACAGAAGAGGTGAAAAAAAAAACCCTAGAACAGAGAAACAATGGAGAAGTTTATCCTTCTCTGCTGCAGTTCTTCAGTCAGTTATATCTACAGCTGTGCTTCTTACAGAAGGGACAGCCCTATGTTTCTCTCAGGTTGCAACTGCATGCTGCCATTGCCATTTTTAAGATGGCACAACTACTTCTGTGCCCCCTGGGGAACCAGGGAACTATTTCGCCTGGCAGCAGACCTGACCAGATAAAGACATCAACTGGATGAATTCCCTGAGCTTTTGATGCCAAGACAGATTTGAATTAAACTGATAATTTTATGATAAAAGATTTATTTCTAATGCAGTGCAGAAAATGGACAATAAAACCCCATAATATTAGATCAACCATCTTTTAATCACTACTGAAAGCAAAAAATTCCATTTATGAAAGCTTCATATCTCGTAAGTAAATCATTTATACTTATAACTGACTTGTAAGCAAACCCTAGCTTTACCTGTTATTTAAAAATTATATACTTATACCTCCCCCTTCCCCCTTTTAATTTAACAATGCTTTATGTAACTGACTTCCCAGGGAAAGCAGATTAATAATGAGCACATATACCATATATGAATATTCTTCTACCTTAATTTTCAACATAAACTATTATGAAAAAAAGATATATTTACCTTCTGAAAAAGGACCCACAGGGGAAACCACAAAACCAAATAAGAATACTGCTCTGTATCTTACAACACATATTCAAGTAGCATGCAGTCATCTTTCAGTGATTAAGACTTTTCTCTAACAACTTAACACTACGTTAGTTAAGAATCCACTTCATTCTAATGATAACTTGCGTCTGTAAAGGAGGACAACACTATGTCTGGAGTCCAAGTAACCAAATTTATATGATTTTACAAACAAAAATAGGAACTAGGAGACCCCCTTTGTTTATAAAGCTATAGTAAGTTAACTGTAACACTATATTGATTAAAGCTCATCTTTTCACAAACATACACAAGCAGAAAATTAACAACATCAATCATTGGCAGAACAACATCCAACACTTGTAAAATTTCTTCATCTACCTGGAAAATAAACTTCCTTCACACTCAGGTTTGCACAGGATACTTTACGAATAAACATATATTGAATCAGAGGACTGTTCATCATTGTCGTCTGCTATGTGAATGTTTCTGAAAACTTTTATTAGATACAAGATTAACTTTAATTTGGACTACGTCTATTTTTTTCCTATGACACAAAGAACAGAAGGCTTTACAACTCCAATGACATCTGGTGGAGTTTGTAGGCTTAGTTTAAAAGAAAATGAACTTTCCTTGCCAATATTCTCCACACTATTCTGTCAAAAAGAGCATTCTCTGGAGAAATAACAGTTGAGAGAGGAATTCCACAAATTTGTAAGTATACACTGCATGTCACTTCAGCCCACAAAGAACTGAAAATGTAGAGAAATATATTTAAGTGATCTTACAGAGTAGGATGACTAGAAACGGAGCTATGCTTTCTTTGTCACATGCTTGCATTTTTCCCACTGGGCCTCTGACAATGGCACTTGAAGAAAGGAATGCACAGTTTAGCCATTTCTTTTAGAAAACGTGAGGAATACCTTCTGCATTGCTTGAATACTATTGCTGTCTTAGAACTCCTTTTTACTGTGTGTCGTGGTTTAACCCCAGCCAGCAACCAAGCACCACACAGCCACTTGCTCACTCCCCCCCACCGGTGGGACGGGGGAAAGAATCGGAAGGGTAAAAGGGAGAAAACTTGTGGGCTGAGATAAGAACAGTTTAATAATTGAAGTAAAATAAAATAGAGTAATAATAATAGTAATAGTAATATTAGTAGTAATAGTAATAATAATAAAACAAATAATAATAATACAATAATAATATACAAAGCAAGTGATACACTCTACAATTGCTCACTACCTGCCGACCGATGCCCAGCCTGTCCCCAAGCAGTGATCGCTGCCACCCGGCCAACTCCCCCAGTTTCTATATGTGGGGAAACATGACTGAACAACCAGGTGTTTCTTTATCTGCCTCTTCCAGTTTTCTTCTTATTGGAAAGATCTGCTTTTCCTCATGTAAAAGCTCTTTTAAAATAAATACTGTTTTGTTGAAAACATCAGAGTAAGTGTCCTCTCGTTCCTACTTTCCTAAGCATTAATTATTTCATATTATTTAATTTTATATCTACATATTTTTTCTCCTTCATCCAATTTAAACAATAGCACTTCCTGAAAAGCTCATATTCAACACTACATATTGCACACTTTTACATGAAGGTACGCGTACTCTGACTGGGCTGTTTCTTGAATAAAATAAAGGAGCAAGAAATTTGTATAACTAAAAAAACGTGGAAGTTTGCATTTAGCAATTGTTGATTTAGCAAATTTAGCACTCTATGTAAAAAGAAAATTGAAGCACGACCTGTACACAGAAATAGTAGCTTATTAAATTGTTTAGTAGTTTCTGAAGCCAGTGGCAAAATATTTAGCAATCCTAATACTGAATTACAATTCTTTGGTTTTTTTTTTTCAAAATCAAAATATTCATAAACCATATTTAGATCACCTCATTATTTAAAGTATATTATTCCATCCTTTTTTGTGAAATATTTACCACAAAGTGTACGTTTTTGTACAAGTCTGGATCAGAATCATTTCAAAGCACAGCACATGAATCTTTTTAAAATCAATTTTTAAATATAAAATTGGCTACTTGATTCATACTCAAAATTACCAAAGTACAGAATATGCATTGAAGTCCAAAAAACCTCAGAAGAACTTGCATGCAATTACTCATAAATAAATTGAATTGGATCTCCTATTTAATGGGCTACATACACCATATAATGCTATTCTACAACAAGCCACTCAAAACAATATATTAAAACTATTAAAATATATTAAATTGTGTATTTAATACCACAGTATCAACCTTATCTCGACCACATTTAAGACAGGAGAAGACAACTTACGGGTATGATTCTGAAAGCTGCTGAGCTATTTTATAAGCTGTGGGATCCCTGTCTAGTGCATATATTGTAATGTCGTCGGCTTTCTCTAGCAGAGCTGTAGTATGACCTCCGGCTCCAAATGTCATATCAAGGAAACGCTGTTGAGTAAGAAAGACAACACCATTACCTTAGAATAGAAAAGTGATAAACCAATTATTGATTTAAAGCTTATTTTGCTAATCTCTCTCATATGCTGGAGGAAAACATACCATTCAATATAGTCACAATGCCTTTTTGGAAATATTTCGTGAAGAATTGCAATCATGTCAGAATAATCTTTTTAGGGGTTGTGACTCCTCCGCCAATCCTTCCAGAACAAAAGGACAATCATTTGGTACAACCAACTGCAGCTTCATACTCTTGCCATTTCTTTACATTCTGAGTTTAGAGGAAAGCCACTTGTTTGACGGCTTTGTTTGGACTTGCTCAATTTGAGGCATACAAAGATAAATAGGACATGAGACTATAGGATCAATGAGCACTATCTGCTTTGTAAGGATGTGTCTAAAAGGAAGGTTAATGCATCTGTGTATCAATTAAAAAAATTACACTATCATAGTTTTATATCACAGATCAAAGTGTGATGGCAGCACAGGCACATATATATCCTGACTGGGACTAATCTAACTAGCACAGAAAATGTAAGTTTTCAAGACACAGTACCATTGATTTTGGGTTCACTGTGCAAGGACAAAGCTATTTATTTAGGTTACTAAGGCACGCTGAAGCCCAGTCCTGCTGTATCTTCTCTACCGTCATTACATGTGTTTATTAGATGCAGAATAGCATAGGAATAGCCACCTTAACAACAATCCCATTTCAATCGCTGATGTGCTCTATGGGCTTAAGTTACACCTTTCAACCTTTTGATAAACAATCTATATTTCCTTACTTCTGAGGAATACTTACTGCCCATGAACATATACCATGTCCATTTTTTGGATACACAAACTAAGACTGGAAGATTTTTAGTAATACCAGGCAGACACATTCATCCTCTCCAATCTTCCACAATAAAACTGAAGACACATTCAAGGAATTTTGGATGCACTCTGACTAAAACATACCTAGGTACAGATTCAGCACAAGTTGCGTAAAACTGGGCATTGAAATTCCTCTAGCAAGTCTCTCAGAACTCAAAGTTCCTGAAAATAAATGGAAATTTCATATTCCTGCCATCAAAAATGTCCCCAAAAAAACTAAAAAAGACTTTCTATCTCATACTTGAGAAGGGTCATGGGGTCATCACATTTCACACAGAGAGGAGGTGCCTTCAAAAGGCTGGTTAACTCCCAGCCACATCATGGAGGAGAACATCTGGAGCAAATGGTTTGCCAACAAAGAGGGGAGACAGAGCAACTGGTGTGCAGCAGGTCCCAACATGAGAAAGGAGGGAAGAAGCAGAAGGGTAGCTGCAATAAGACTCGAGAGGTGAACTCTGCAGAAGTTTCTGTAGTCAGAGTCCATTTGACCAACAGGCTGACCAGGAGGCTTTGCTCCAGAGACTGTCCTAAGAAGCACTGACTTGGGACACAGTCAACCACCTTGAACTGAGGCGGGTTGGGCTATGTGATTCCACTAACAGGAGAAACTTAATGCTGGTTTAAGTCTTTTTTCTCTGTAAAACAGCAGTACTGTTTCTAGAAGCTGTCCCATGCGCCTTCCTCCTTTGGCCTGACAACACTGGTACTAAACTGCTTAAACATCAAGAACTATTTTGCTGACAGAAATAACCTGCTCTTCACTTAGCAACGCAGAGGTTGCATGACTGCAATTCCACTTAGGAAATACTTCCTTTTCCAATTACTAAGAAAGTATCTATAATTCTATACTCTAGGCAAAACATACTGGCATTTAGAAAGAGACAGTTTGGGGTTTTTTTATTGTTTCATGACAGTATATTTAAACCAAAGTAGAAACGCGACTGAACAACGTCTTCTCTAGTTTCTGCATCTCTGAATTCCCATAACCCTTTCCTCTCAGTTGACTTAACTGGCCTCTGTTGACTTGAGAATATCAGACTCCATGCAAGCTAAACGAGAAGAACAGACTCTCTTATCTTTCAATACGAATACCTGGTTGGTTTTTTTTTTACCCCACTTCTGAAATTATTTTTGGATATGAACCAGTTTTTGAAGACCTCTTATCAAGTGCAATCATATTCAATAAAAATTAATGTGAACTAAACTTATTTACAATAATTATACACTCCAAAGCCAAGCACCTTTTAAGGGCAATTTTGTAACTTATCCCTTGAAAGAATTCAGATTCAACCACAAAGTCCCTTTGGATAAAAATGGAAATTCAAAAGCAGTGAAGAACAGATTGAAGAAAGACCCAAACATTTTTTCAGATACAGTTTTTAGAAAACATAAAGGCTTTTTAAATGGAAATCCCATAATAATAAAACTGAATATTTATGAAACTAATAATCCAACTCTACTGTGGCTAAAAGTAAGTGAAAATTATGATCCTTTATGACCTTTAGGTTGTCATGATTTAATTTCTTTGTGTTATACCATCATGCTTCTGAAGCCTATGCTCTAGAAGCAGAACTTTCCTATAACATTTTACGAAGTTCATGGAGGAAAAAAAATTTTGTTGGCTCATCTTCCAATATTAAATTGCGCCATTCATATGAATAAATAGAGAACTGACACAGAATATTATTTTTTTTGTAAGGAGCATGTATAAGACAAAGTTATGCTACAGAGGATATAATATCCATACTGTATAAATGCTCTCACAATCTATTTAAGCATTCTGATTTATCTTCTGCCATAACAAAAACAGAAGTATATTCACTAAAACCAATTTGATAAGCACAAAACTGAAACAGTCAGAAAAGTGTGGGTATTATTTGAAACAACTAGCCACAAGAATTTAGCTAGGTTTTGAAAATACTTGCACACATTTAAAAACTCCAAGCTACTGAAAGCATTTGTTTTCTCTATAAGCTCTCACATTATCACTGTTAATCAGATTCTGAGAACCTCTCTTATGACAGAGGGTACATTTAGTATGGGGGTTTTTTTTGCACTGTACTGTTACTGTTTCACTTTTATCTTCTATTTCTGTAGAAAAACTCCTTTAGAGAAATGTCAAGGAACAATAGAAAATTAAAACCACCTTTTTATTCCTTGCATAGGATTAACCCACTCAGGAATGCACTCAAACTTGGTCACAACAGTCTCAAGTGTCATTTAGGATTGCACTTACTCTGCAGCAACTCAAAACAATTAAAACCAATCTAAATTACATCATAATTCCTCTTGGAGAAAATAGGTTTAATCCACATGACTAACATCATCTGTGTTGTGTTTAGTTGTTTTGGTTTGTTTAAAAAAAAAAAAGAACAAAGGAATGCTCTTATTTGATACCATAACTAGAAATCTAGCACTAAAATTTTGGAAAACTTCAACATTGCCTGTCCTGAAACAGACCTACAATACTGGCAGGAAGAGTCAAGGAAGGCATAGGCAGTGCTAGAAACAGCTACTTACTTACTTTAAAACAAAAAAGTTTAGAACAGTAATTTTATTCCACTTAAACCCACTAGTAACGTGAAGTTCCAGAAAATATTTTTTCTTTATCAATGGGTTTAGCAATTTGCTTATTTCTTGTACATCTGTTTTTTTTCTAAACATCTAATTCTTCTTTGGTGATCTCTAGAATGTATTACACAGATTTGATCCTTTCTGCCTCTCTCACCAACATTTCCGTACCACGGAGAAGGTCCTTTGTTCCACCAAGTCTGAACAGCAGAAAATGAAAAGATGAGTTAGGGACCTTTTTGGCCAAGGGTATATCCAGACAATTTTGCTGTTTAAGCAATAATTTAATACTGTTTGGGTTTTTTTTCCCCCCAAATGAATTTTTGAAGATCTTGTAGCTCATTCAGGAATATTTATATTTGTTATTTCGCTTAACAGTCTCACCTTTCTTCACACGCGTCTGCCTCTGCTTCCATGATTTTTTTTTAATTTCCTAATACATGCTGAATATTAATGAACCATACAGAAGATCTTATAAACAAACTAAAAATTAATACTAGCAGTGCAAAGGAGAGAAAAAGAGAAAGGATAAGGGCCATTGTACCATGACATAGTGACAAGCTCTCAATATTGTGACAGCACCTAAAAGCTTTAGTTAAGAATTCATGCAAGCATTCACTGTGAATAAACACATGCTCACCAAATTACATTGCCTTTTCTGAGAAAAAAAAAAAAACACACACACACACAAAAAAAACCCCAAAAACCCAACACCAGCCAACCAAACCTTTAAAACCTTTAAGCAACATTAGACAATACTAACGTGATCTTTAAATTGGGAGCACTACATAAAAGAGGACACAGCTCTGATTCAAGCAGAAGTGACTGCAGGACTGAATACACTGGATAAAACACTACATCACCAGCATTATTGGAATAGGCTAAAGCATTTTTGGCATCCTAGCAAACCTAATTAAGGCTACATTTTGCCATAACTTTTTAAGGTAAATAAAGACCTTCCATGGCTAATCTTTGAACGGCACAGATACATGTGCCTAAACTAGCAAGCAAGAGCTCATACAGATGCCTCATAATCTAGCTATTCCACTCAAAAGCATCATGTTGCATCTAGAACCTAAAAAAATTTATCACCTTAAATAATAAAATTATTTGATTTGATAACTAACACAACTATTTTGGAGCATTGATCAGATGTGAAATTAATCACTAGACTATACTGCTTCATAATACGCTTTTTATAAATTCCATTCATCTTTCATGCCTGAAATAAAAGAAAGATGCTTCATTTTTTCTTCCTCTTTCTCTCCTGCCTAGTAGTTTTTAATCAAATAAAATTAAATGACATTTTATCCTTCTGGTCCTATAAATACCGGAAAAGATTATTACATGAATTCCTCCTGCAGTGACTCACCGTTCCATTCTTAAGTTATGATAGCCCCATCAGAGTTCCCCTTGGGAATTTTATAATCAGTTTGTGACTGTACGTTTTAGAAACCATTTGGCTCTTTCATGACATACAGATAGCAACAAACAAAAACTTTATAGCCTTCATTTTACAACTAGCTCTAAGATAGTTACAGAGA